CGATTTACTCGTTAGTGGCATCAATTCGCAAAACTCTGTTCCGGCGTTTCTATTGAATCGAGCTGAACGTTTTGACTCAATTTGCCTCGTTCAACCTTGCGGACAGACGAGTGTTTCGATATGAACCAGTTGCGTTAATACTGAACGTTTAAAGTCAGGACCACTTAAGTACCGTAATACAAATTTGTTCCATTCGAAGTGACAGGTAAATGCATTGCTCGTCATTTTAAATTTTCGTGGCTCGTGGTTACGATTAAATAAAAATTTTAACGATAGAGTATTCGTACTCGGCTTGTTTGATGTTAAACAAACTGAGAATATCTACGTCAGCAACAGGACTGGAACAGTCCTGTCTACCAAGTCTAAATGATGCAAGCCCACAAAAACTATAATACTACTGCTATTAGTATTGAAAAGATCAATGATATATTTTTAACCGTGGAAGGTAAGTCAATTTTGAAAGTAATGATCTGAGCCTTATGGTTATTGACTAAACGATTGAATGATGTAGTTAGATCAGTTTACAGGTGTATTGTTGGGCTGTGCTTGGAGCATCAGTTGACATTTACCTGGCCCTGATTGACAAGCAATGTACAGAAAACCAATATTTCTAATTTTATAGATATGGCAGTGCTCGGTCCATTAACACTCGCACGACTTAATTATAATATTTATAGAAACATACGTATTTTATTCAATGATCTGAAATATTTATATATATATGAAGAACTGTTATCATCTGTATGTGTGTGTAATTCGCCTAACACGAGCACCTAAATAACATATGAACTGTTTGTTATATAAAGAAGCGTCTAAAACAAAAATCATAGTACTAAGAGGGACGTACAATAGAATAATTAATATTTTGTTATTCAAAAAACTCAAGTTATATTCATACCTCAATAAAAGAGCAAAGTAATTATAATACTGTATTTTTCTCTTAATATAATCAAGGTTAGATTAATAAAGGTATACCTCATATTTGTACCTAATGAATTAATACATATAATCTCTTCTATGCACTCAATTCTAATTTCTTAACGTTTACAAGTACGGTACAATAAAAACGTATTGTTATTACATCATATAATTTTTGTTTCGAATATCCCCTTCATATAACAAACAATTCATGATTGGGGTGGTCAAGTTAAGTGATTTAAACTATCTAATTATGTTTGCATAAATCGATTCTTTATATATGTAGATGTTCAAATTATCCACAGTTATCTACAGTGAGTGTAAAAAGTATTCGTACACTAGTCAATTTGAACAAAAACTTTGCAGAACTTTGTTTATTACAAAAGTATGTTAACAAAAACATGCATACATATTCTTAGAAATCTCTGGAACAAATGTCATTAACAACAAATTATTTATATATATTTATTATGAAAATATTAACAAATTTCCAGAAATTGACCTAAAATATACGCGTAATAAGTATTCGTACAGTCTTTGATTCGTAACATTCCACATAGAACGATTACAAGATAATCCATGATATGTAAACATACTTAGCATCAGTATGTCTGGAGACGCTGTCGGTATAGGTAGTATCCTGAATTCAAACATTATCAATGAAATTATCAGTAAAATGGGACGAAAACGCAAGGATACCTCTGAAGAAGAAAGGAAAATTGTTATAAATTTACATAATAAGTGTAAAACACTGAGTGAAATTTCTAAAGTTTTAAATAGACCGAGGTCCACGATTCAAGGAATCATTGACAGATATGGCGATCGAAAAACTGTAAAAAATAATCCAAGAAACGGACGTAAACGAATAATAAATGAGTATACCGGCCGATGGATAATTCGAAAAATAAAGCAAAATCCAAAGATAAGTGCGGTGAAAATCACAGCTGAACTTAAAAATGATCTGGACATTAATGTATGCAGTAGCACAGTGCGTAATTTTTTACGGGATAGAGGATATCACGGCAGAGTAGCTCGTAAGAAATATTTCGTAAATGAAATTAATAGAAAGAAACGATTGCAATTCGCGAAAGAGTACGTTAATGTTCCTATGGAGCACTGGAACCGTATTATATTTACTGATGAGAGTAAATTTAACATATTTGGGTCAGATGGACGATGTACAGTATGGCGGAAAAAAAATACCGAGTACGAAAAAAGAAATTTGAAGCCGACCGTAAAGCATGGAGGAGGATCAGTCACAGTTTGGGGCTCTATGAGTGCGAGCGGAGTTGGATTCCTCCATTTTATCGATGGTATCATGGATCACAAAATGTACATCGATATTCTAAAAGAGCATCTTCAGGTTAGTGCAAATAAAATGCAGTTACAGGGCAATTATATATTTTTGCAAGATAATGATCCAAAGCATAATGCTTATAATACACGTCAGTGGATCCTATACAGGGTGTTCGGCCACCTCTAGCAAAAATTTTAATGAGCGATAGTAGAGGCCAAAATAAGACAAAAATCAAGAATACCAATTTGTTGATGGAAGCTTCGTTAAAAAGTTATTAACGTTTAAAGTGCCGCCCTTACTGAATTTTTTTCTCGAAAATGCGCAAGATTTCGGGGGTATGTCTATTCACCAAAAATGACTGTAATTGAACCCTACAACCGAAAATAATTTTTCCACAACGATTTGCAATTTTTTAATTTTCTCGAATAATTTCACACCTTCTATATTTTTTTTCTCGAAAGTGGGCAGGATTTCGTGGGTGTGTCTAATGACAAAAACTGATTGTAATTGACCCCCGCAACCGAAAATAATTTTTCCACAACGATTTGCAATTTTTTTTCTCCGTTGAAAAATTTAGGCACCTAATTGGATTTTCAGTAAGGAATTTTTTTCTCGAAAGTGCGTACGATTTTGGAGGTATGTGTAATGATAAAAAATGATTGTAATTGATCCCCGCAACCGAAAATAATTTTTTTAGAACGATTTGAAAAATTTTTTTTCGCCGAAAAATTTCAGCACCTACGCGATTTTTTTTCTCGAAAGTAGATAGGATTTCGGAGGTATGTGTATTCACCAAAAATGATTGTAGTTGACCCCCGCAACCGAAAATAATTTTTCCAGAACGATTTGAAATTTTTGAATTTAATTGTTAATAACTTTTTAACGAAGCTTCCATCAACAAATTAGTATTCTTGATTTTCGTTTTATTTTGGCCTCTACTATCGCTCATTAAAATTTTTGCTAGAGGTGGCCGAACACCCTGTATAATGTGCCGCAGCAATTAAAAATCCCTCCACAGTCTCCAGACATAAACGTAATAGAGCACTTATGGAGTCATCTTGAAGAAAAAATTCGAGACCATCACATTTCTTCGAAACAAGATTTAAAAAATGCACTTTTAGAGGAATGGAACAAAATTTCTAGTACTATAACCAAAAATTTAGTAAATTCAATGCCGCAAAAGCTTAAAGCGATTATACAATCCAAAGGAAATCCCACTAGATACTAAAATAGCAAATAGACTGATTTTTGTTACGTTTATGTACTAAAATTTATAGTTTTTGTTGTAAAATTAGAAGTGTACGAATACTGATTACACGTGTATTTCACGCCAATTTCTGGAAATTTGTTAATATTTTCATAATAAATATAAATAAATAATTTGTTGTTGATGACATTTGTTCCAGAGATTTCTAAGAATATGTATGTATGTTTTTGTTAACATACTTTTGTAATAAACAAAGTTCTGCAAAGTTTTTGTTCAAATTGACTAGTGTACGAATACTTTTTACACTCACTGTATATCGAACATAATCTTTTACGACTCTCTTGGATTATAAGACGTCCCCTACTTTGGAATGGACTGGTTTGGATTGTATACATATTGTATAATCAGTCTTATAGTTTGGTAAACGATGGATACTTTAAAAAGATCAATGTTACAGGGTAGTCCGTCATTTTTGGTACAAATATATAATTTACATAACTTTTTGAACTTATCACTTAATCTTGTCATTCTTTCTTTTGTTATCTTTTGTAGCACATTTCAGTTGGGAAGGTATAGATTATATATTTGCAATAGAATTAGACCACCCTCGTCTGACCGAAATACGCAAGAAGTATTAAGAAACACGAATGATACTGATTGTTAGGTCTGGACCAGTGTTTCCCAACCTTCCGTGAACCATGGCCCACCTCAAATACTTAAAAATTTAGATGACACAAGAGGACGTCTGGTAGTACAAGCAATGATTCCAACTATATCTCTGACGAAGTTAAAAAAGAGTATCAACGTTGGGAAACACTAGTCTAGGAAGACCCGTCGACGGTCGTGCGAGTGTCAACTTGCTGCGATCTTATTCGACGGATCAAAAAAACGTTCAGGAAGCAAAAAAATAAAGTTTTCTGGAAGATGTGTGAGATATTGACCAGTCTCTTGGAGTTTGCTCGATAGGACGAAGATCTAACGATTTTCCATGGCGAAATCGTCGTCCACTGAAAAATATTCTGTAACTGCGATGTTCCCTTACTTGACCAGGTACAAATGTTGAAGAAGAAATGTTTTGGTAAAACGGATGTCAAGCCTCGCGCCTGATCAGCAATCGCGTTGCCGCGACGAAAAAATTGATTACATCGTAACAACATGATTACATGCCCGTTTAATTTCGCTATGAACTATAAAATAAATTAAAATACTCGGCTGTTACGTTCCTCGTCGCGCGACAATAGTCTTGTACGAAGGATCGTTAACTAAAATCCTCCGACGAAGTTATCCGAGTATTGCATAGACTCTCTAATAAATTATGTACATTAAATTTGGTTGATCTCTGCCCGAAACGCATAGTCTGTGTAGTTTCTAGAGACACATTGAACGCTGTCTATTCTCGCGGTATCATCGGGTCATTTCATGCCTCGATTCGTCTTCGAGGCGACTCTTGACGAGAGAACGATAGAGACGACTGGAGACTAAAAGAACACATCGTTGCTTCGCACCGAAGTCCTGCTGTTTCTCGTCCGTTCGAAAACCATGACCACGTCGTTCACTGACCGTCGTTCCAATGTCCGTTTAATTCGCTCGTTGCGTAAGAAGATTGAGCAGTTCGTCGTGGTCCATGCTGTTCAACGTCTGTATGTCAATACCCAATGCATTCGCCACGCTTTTCATGTCGAGGCCAAAGCTTTTCAGCAGCTCGATAAAGTCCATCTCCTCCCCGGTAAACGGATTGTGGAGCTTTGGACAGCTGTGATTACACTGCGGCCAAGTGCAACGTTCGATTAGCCGGAAGTGGCAGCCCTGGACGCACTTCCGTTTGCCAGATGGTATCACCGAGCGCTGAGGTCTAGTCCCGTTAAACATGCCCGTGTGGTTGCTGTCGTTGTTCTGCTTGTTGCCCTTCCGGCGGCCTGAAGTTTTAACAAACACCACTCACAGATTAAACGCGTTGTCGCAAATGGAAATGTATTGTTTCTTTCTTTTAATTTATTCTTAATCGATTTAGACAACAGCCTATTACAATCTTGTGTTTCTACATATTATTATATTTACACTGTAATAAAGTATTTACTTCAATATGGTCTAAAACAAAAATATACATGGAAATAGAATTAAGGTATAAAATTGAAAATCTAAAACAAGAACTAAGAAAGTCCATTGAGTGATTTTCAGTTCCATAATACCTTGGAATTTAATATGAATTATTCATCCAAGCAGAGTGCTCTGATTCTTATTGCACTATTTGTGAAGTGTCAGAATGGAAATCTATTATTTAACATTTGTCTCTTGAGTTTAACAAGCCCTTATTGCAATGTGCACGGATTTTTTTATATAAATCAATTAACTATTGCAAATAGTATCCACGTAATTTCAGTGTTTGTCGTGACATAAATTAAAGGAAGGAATTGCAGTTCCTGAAATTAATTGTCGATTTCCCGGAAGGCTTTTAACCCTAATCGAGGTTTTACGTAACCATCCGTGATTCGTACCAGCTTTTCTTCGCTCGTGTTTCTCCTTCTTCGTTCTCGTCTCTTTGTTCCTGTCTCTCCGTCTGCCTTTGTGCTTCCGCCTCTTCCTCTTTTTGTTTTCTCGTTCCTGCGACTGAACGGACGCCGATTTCGATTTCCCCGCGTCCGACTTGTTAATGGCGGTGGACGAGACTTTCTGCAAGTCCGCCAGAGACTCAATTTTCCCGGATCGTCCGGTTTCGGGCGACGTTCCGTTTCCCTTCGTCAGCCCGGAACGCAACAGCTTCCGAAGCGATTTCGAGCACGGTTGGTTCGTTTCGATTGGCGATTGAGTACTGAAATCAGAAGGCCACGCTACAATTAACGCAACAAACACGGTAATTAGTTTTTATCTTCACCTTGACGTACGTCTTACAGGTGAGGTTATTAACTCTTGCAAATGTTTTAATTGGCGATTACTTGTAGTTTTTCAGATAAATTTATTTCAATGTTATAAATGATTAGAAATAAATTTTTTAATTGAAATTTTTCAATTTTATTTTTTAGCAACATAAAATTTCATACATTCTCAAATTTTTTTCTAGAAACTAGGTAGGATTTCGGGTGTGTGTCTAATCACCAAAAATGATTGTAATTGACTCCTACAAATGAAAATAATTTTTTCAGAACGATTTGAAATTTTTCAATTTTATTTTTTAATAACTTAAAATTTCACCCATTCTTGAATTTTTTTCTAGAAAATGGGAAGGATTTCGAGGGCGTGTCTAATCACCAAAAATGATTGTAATTGACCCCCGAAACTAACAATATTTTTTTCAAAATGATTCGAAACTTTTTAATTTCCCCAAAAAATGTCTCCATCTACTGAATTTTTTTCTCGAATGTGCATAAGATTTCGGGGGTATGTCTATTGACCAAAAATGATTGGAATTGACTCCTACAACTGAAAATAATTTTGCCAGAGCGATTTGGAATTTTTCAATTTTATTTTTTAATAACTTAAAATTTCACCCATTCACGAACTTTTTTCTAGAAAATGGGTAGGATTTCGGGGGTGTGTTTAATCGCCAAAAATGATTGGAATTGACCCCCGCAACCAAAAATAATTTTTTCAGAACGATTTGAAATTTTTCAATTTTATTTTCTAATAACTTAAAATTTCACCTATTCTCGAATTGTTTTCTAGAAAATGGGTAGGATTTTGGGGATGTGTCTAATCACCAAAAATGATTGTAATTGGCCCCCGCATCTAAAAATATTTTTTTCAGAACGATTTGAAATTTTTCAATTTTATTTTTTAATAACTTATAATTTCACTCATTCTCGAATTTTTTTTCTGGAAAATGGGTAGGATTTCGGGGGTGTGTCTAATCACCAAAAATGATTATAATTGGCTCCCACAACCAAAAATAATTTTTCCAGAACGATTCGAAATTTTTCAATTTTATTTTTTAATAACTTTTTAACGAAGCGTCAATCAACAAATTGATATTCTTGATTGTCGTCTTATTTTGGCCTCTAGAATCTCCCATTAAAATATTTCCGAGGGGTGGTCGAGCATTGTATAAATAAAATATTTTTTTTCTTTTTTTTAAGACTAGAACAACCTACAATTATAGTGTGTTTATTTGTATAAATGAAATTGAAACGATCTTTTAAGCGAAGAAATATATAATGGAATGGAAATAAGTGTTTATATATTTTCTTATAGAAAATTACGATAAATTTTCAAAAATTTAGTCGAGTACATTTTTTACAAGTTTTATTAGAAATTACGAAGGGGTCAATTTGACTGGTTTGGTAGTTCTAGTGTTAAATAAAGAATTTGTTTTCGTACTTTTTTCTATGCCTTCTACCAACATTAACTTAATTTCAAAAAATAACTAAGAAACCAATATGACTACAATACATATACATTGCTTGTGCTATTTATACTGTCTTGACTAATCAAAATTCCGGAATTTAAACCGCATTATGGCATCAATGAGATATTGTTTTGTTTACTTCCATACAATATTTCAACAATTTCTATCTTTCGACTATATATTTTAAGAAATATCTCAAGAATAAATAACGAATAAAAAGTCACGTGATTCATTGAAAGAAGCATTGCAACCGAGAAGCAGGTAATTCTGCATGGAAAAGTAAGTCGAGTACGTGGAAAAACTTTGTTCGTACGTGGTTTCGTTTCCGAGAAAATCGATTTCGAAGATACGCGGAGCGACGGGTTAATCTTGCTCGGCACGTCCCGGCAGTGAAGAAGCGCGCTGCCCCAAAAGATTTTTAATACCGATTTTCTCGAAAACGAAGCTTCGTACAAAAAAACGTTATTCAACATTTTCTGTGTACTTTTTCACAAAAATTATATCCCCGTTAATTATAACTCCCGTCGCGGAACACTTTTTACAGAGAAAAGAAACGTATCTATCGCTGTTCGTGATTTTTCGCACCGACGATCGATCGATCTTCCTACCTTTCACGACAACGACAATATCATTATTACGACTCTCGATACTCACTCGTTACGGTGATTCCCGATTGGCATTTGTTCCCAACAATGCAACGCTTGCGCCAAAGAAACTTCGTCTATTTTAACCAACTGCCAATCCCTCTTCGTCAGGACGCTGTGACTAATGCAACTCGGGGCAAAGACCGCCGTAACGTTTTCGAAGGTCTGCCGAAGGCTGTCACCCATCTTGTGAATGTAATCCCATTGCTGCTTCGTCACCGGTGCGCCCACGTTGTCGGCCGACATCTGCGCCTCGTCGAACAGCCATTGAAAAACGAACAGGGGCGCTATGATTTTCCGGGAAGCAAATATTTCCGTTAGAGGGAGACGAATTCGTGTCGTCGTTTCGTTTTCGTTTTGTCGCGTCTGTCTCTCGTCGGTTAATTGTAATATACCAGGCGTTTCGAAACTGACAGTGCAAGCTCGACTGATTAACGGAACTCAAAAGAACAAAGTGAAAAGTCTTAAGGCGTGATTCCACTGAGGCAACATGTAGCACGCGGCAATGACGCATGCAACGAAACACAATTTTATTAAGGCAACATATAGGCAACATGAAATCGACGTTATATAGACACTTGACATGTGTATTTGCTACACATTCATTTGTTTCCTTTCCGAAATAAAGAAATGCGGAATTATTTGATATTGTTTTGTCGAATCGACAAGATTGAACATGTCGAGCAATGTCGTCAGTTAATGACAAGTAGCATGCTACAGGTCGCGTAGTGTTACCGAACGACATGTGGCATGTTACAAGTGGCATAGTGTTGCCACAGTGGAATCATACCTTTACTGAACACAGGTCCGTAAGACTAAATTGTTTCTGAGATAATTGAAATCCTCGCGAACTCTATTTAACACGTTGACTGCCAGACCAAACCCCTCGAATCCTCCACTTTGTTTCTAGACAATTGGAAACTAGTATAACCATAATTTGTCATAAAACTTATTTTCTAAGTATCGTTGAAATTCAAGAGTCATATTTAGATTTATTTTCATTGATATTTAATCTTGAGAATGAATTTTTTTAGCTCCTTAGTGAAAAACAATGTCACCCATATGTGGCTGACGTGGCAGTCAATGTGTTAAGGGAGTATTTTACACTTGCAATTTTGCAATTGCTTGTTACAAATTTTTGTTAAAGAAGGATACTCTTTTGGGTTAAATTTGAGTAAATATTGTTAATTCTATGGGTCAAGAGTATTCGCCATTTTTTTTACTATCAAAATTTTAATTTTCAATATTTTTGCACAAAAATCATTGTGGATAGTGAAAAATGTGGAAAATGCACCTCACACTAGAATATCCCGTTAAAATGGTTGCATAATACAAGAAGATTGAAATACAGACACATTCTAGATTGTTTTTTTGCCTGTACCTTCGATTTTATTTAGGTACTGTTATCAATATTTCAAACTATGCAATTTTAATACCTGTTTCTGAAAATTGTGTCGAACAATTTTTGAGAATGTTGGAAATACAACGGTTTGAATTAGTCAGATTTTTGAAAATAACATTTACGAGATATCTTTCCGGCGATTTTAACATTCTCGAATATTTTTCTAGAAAATGGGTAGGATTTCGGGGGTCTGTCTATTCACGAAAAACGATTGTAATTGACCCCCACAACCAAAAATAATTATTCCAAAACGATTTGGAATTTTTTAATTTTGTCCAAAAATTTCACACTTTCTCGAATTTTTTTCTCGCAAGTGGGTAGGATTTTGAGTATATAGCTAATGACCAAAAATGATTGTAACTAACCCCCGCAACTGAAAATAATTTTTCCAGAACGATTTGGAATTTTTCAATTTTGTCCAAAAATTTCACACATTCTCGAATTTTTTTCTCGCAAATGAGTAGGATTTCGAGTATATAGCTAATGACCAAAAATGATTGTACCTAACCCCTGCAACTGAAAATAATTTTTCCAGAACGGCTTGGAATTTTTTAATTTTGTCCAAAAATTTCACACATTCTCGAATTTTTTTCTCGTAAATGAGTAGGATTTCGAGTATATATCTAATGATCAAAAATGATTGTAACTAACCCCTACAACTGAAAATAATTTTTCCAGAATGATTTGAAACTTTTCAATTTCGACGAAATTTATCGATTTCCCTGTCGATTTTTCTTAAAAATTTGTTTTTGATTTTTAGTCATTTTGTTTGATGCTATATAGAAAAGTTGTCTAATACTTTTTTGTAGGTACCCATGAGCTCTACTTCAGAAAAAAGTTTCATTGAAATATATTCACTATTGTATGAGTTATGGTTGTTTGAAAATTGCACCATTTTTATGGGGTTTTTCTCATTTTGCGGGGTCAAGAAATAACTTTTCGAATATTTTTGAAATTTCTACATATTCTTCACTAATACACGAGTCGTTTGCAATTTGAAACATTAAAATCGTCCAATCCGTTCAGGAGTTATAATGTTTTAAAGATTTGCATGAAATTTTGGGGCAAACATTTCTGGCCATTAATTATATTTTCGGCGAGGAATTTTTTTCTCGAAAATGCATAGGATTTCAAGGGTATGTCTATTCCCCAAAAATAATTGTAATTGACTTCTGCAACCAATAATAATTTTTCCAGAACGATTTGAAATTTTTCAATTTTATTTTTTAATAACTTAAAATTTCACCCATTCTCGAATTTTTCTCTAGAAAATGGGTAGGATTTCGGGAATATGTCTATTCACCAAAAGTGATTGTAATTGACCCTTGCAACCAAAACTAATTTTTCCAGAACGATTTGAAATTTTTCTATTTTATTTTTTAATAACTTAAAATTTCACCCATTCTCGAATTTTTTTCTCGAAAGGTGGTTGGATTTCGGGGTTATGTGTATTCACCAAAAACGATTGTAATTGATCTCTGCAACTAAAAATAATTTTTCCGTGAATGATTTGAAATTCTTTAATTTAATTTTTTAATAACTTTTTAAACAAACACCCAGTATAACTTGTTGACTACAAATGAACTTTAATACTAATTAATTAATCTTTGAATAATGTCATCGACATTAGAAAGACAAAATAACAAATTCTCTATTAAACTATTGGAATATTTCTATTTATCACGCTATAATATGAAAAACTGGTGTCAACATCTCAAAAAAATCGAAATATCTCACAAGCACTAGATAATTGTACAGGAAATAACTATGCCAAATGTTAGTTAAATCGCTTTATTAGTTCCCAAAATATTTTTAGTACTTTGATCGAGAAAATACTGTTTTGAATAAAGTTTGGTGTAAAACACTGAATTATTCAATGAAATATCCAGAAAAGTCGCTTCGAGGATAATGCATTTGAATAAAAATATTTTCGAAAACGTCTCTTTTTATTAAATACGATACGTCGAGAGTGAAATATTGCATTAATAAGGGATGAAGTAGAAATTTCTTTACCAGTCAAAGTTGGGTACAGCCTGTATCCAAAGTAGCATCTCCACGGTTCATTTGGATGCTTCAAGACGCAATTATGGGGCATACGAGCCTTCCAAAAATCCATCCCCTTGTGAACAGCATCCACTGGTGACAAACCGTTCGGTGAATAGGGAGCTCTGTCCAGAAACCACCCTGAGTCCGAGACACCCCGTATAGCGATATGTTTCAATCCTGTACAAACAAACAACAATTCTATAAACATTAAACAGTATAATTCGAAATTTCATAGATCACGAATTGTATTAATTATTACTAGAATGGAAAGTATTATAATCGAGGAAAATTCCCACTAAAATGCGTTCTATTACCCCGAATCTCGTTTTTATTATTCAAAAATTTTACCATTAGACATCAGACACATTTTTTTATAATCTTTTCGTTCTTAGATAATGTAATGAATGTAAATAAAGAATTAATGGTATCTAATTGTAGAGACAAAGCAACAAAAACTTTAAAAACAATTCAAATCATAGTATAATGATCGTACATATAAAAATAAACTTTTTAACTAATAGAAATATGAAATATGAAATATGAAAGAAAAAATAACGTATGATTTTTGTCTCCAAACAATTGTTCAACATTGGCTGTTGTATAAATATTTATAAGCTTTTCTCAGTTCTTCCTTTCATATTTTGTAGGTTAAACAAATTGTTGTTTATGCACAACGAGCTCCAGTATTAATTATTGACTTTGAAATATATTACAACCGAGACGTTGAAAGTGTAGAAGTTTCTATCGAACTGCTCTTATCAGTAAAGTAGTTAACATTAGTTTGTTTATTTACATCCATCAGATTATTATAACCTTCACTATATCATTCAGATGATTACATTTGCAATCATAAAGAATTCTATTGCCATTTAGTAAAGTTGTTAACATTAGTTTTTTTATTTACATCCATCAGATTGTTATAACCTTCACTATATCGTACAGATGATTACATTTGCAATCATAAAGAATTCTATTGCCATTTAGTAAAGTAGTTAACATTAGTATTTTTATTTACATCCATCAGATTGTTATAATCTTCACTATATCATTCAGATGATTACATTTGCAATCATAAAGAATTCTATTGCCATTTAGTAAAGTTGTTAACATTAGTTTTTTTATTTACATCCATCAGATTGTTATAACCTTCACTATATCGTACAGATGATTACATTTGCAATCATAAAGAATTCTATTGCCATTTAGTAAAGTTGTTAACATTAGTTTTTTTATTTACATCCATCAGATTGTTATAACCTTCACTATATCATTCAGATGATTACATTTGCAATCATAAAGAATTCTATTGCCATTTAGTAAAGTAGTTAACATTAGTTTTTTTATTTACATCCATCAGATTATTATAACCTTCACTATATCGTACAGATGATTACATTTGCAATCATAAAGAATTCTATTGCCATTTAGTAAAGTAGTTAACATTAGTTTTTTTATTTACATCCATCAGATTATTATAACCTTCACTATATCGTACAGATGATTACATTTGCAATCATAAAGAATTCCTATTGTCATTTAGTTTTATTTATTATACGGTGTATGAAAGAACCAGGTCCTAAACTTCCTAGTAACAGCGCGTACGAGACCAAAAACAGTTGGAATAATACGCGTTCAAATGCTGAATGAGTTCAGGGGTCGTTGAACGATCAAAGGGAGCCTGTCTCACCTAATTCATGGCGAACCAAATTGTGCACGTGATCCAAATTCAACATGACACCGGTTCCACCCGCGCTGCTGCCTGCCAAAAGAAGGGAGCTGGCGTTTTCAAGGCCAAGTGGAACGAGGTCCCGCACCACTTGCAATACGATCTCCGCCCCCATGAAGGAAAACATGTCGTTCGGCGAAGCTCTGGTGCCGCTCCAACTGTCACTCGTGCAATAAGGGACGAATCTGAAAAAACGAAATAGCCTCGTCACGAATATGTCACTATCCTCACATTCCACCCAACTGAATAAAAATAAACGTTTCAGGAACTTCTAAATGAAAAAATCTCGAATTCGAATTCGTTACGCAACACTAGGTGAAGGTTAAATAATAATTCATAGAGATCAGAAAAGCTTTCTCTTTAATAACACGTAAGTATTTATTGTACCTAATTTGCAGACATTAAAAAACTAGAATTAAATTTATTTCACTAATTTTTAGATTTCCACCAGTGTACATGTACATACGTTGTTTACAGTTTTTTATTTTCTAGTAAGTATTTTATTTTGGGTTTCTTTTTGACAAGATATGACCTTTATTTTTTTTTTTTTTTGCGGGGGAACTATCCACATCCATAACCATTTCTTTTGCACATATTTTTTTGCATTTGTTATATGTTTTACTAATCAATGGATGTGTCAGTAGAAGAGAGTCAAAACAATGTTTGTACACTAAAGGATGAAACTTTATAAATCTTTTTATTTTGTAATCAAGTAACATTGCCGCGATGAAATTAAAATTCTAACGATATTTATTTAGAGAATGTAAAACCAAGAAGGGTTCGAGTGAGTTTAACCAAGATGGACAATACCTACACGTGATTCGCATTCCACCAGAATGGATTTTCCTCCGGATTCGCCGACAGAAGACCACCAACTGTAACGAAACACAATTATTGAATTACCATTGATATGATTACAGATTTTCGTTTTGCATTTGAATTTAATCTATTTGCACAATTATCGTATATATTTTCCTGACCATTATCACCAAAGAGTATACTATACTGTGTGTACGCATTCACATTGTGAATGAATAGTGGTGGATGAGAATAAATCAGTAAAATATTGCTCTGGTAATGCCTCTTAAAATATTTGTTCTTAGATTTAATAAATTAACTAGTGAAATTGTCGATGACTAAGTTCATTTTAAAACATTAGGCAGAATTCAATACAGGGTGTTCGGCCACCCTGGTTGGTAGAAATTTTAATGGGGCATTATAGAGGCCAAAATAAGACGAAAATCAAGAATATCAATTTTTGGACTCAGGCTGCATTGCAAAGTTATTAAAAAATTTCAAAACATTCTGAAAAAATTATTTTTGGTTGCAGAGATCAATTACAATCGTTTTTGGTGAATACACATACCCCAGAAATCCTATCACCTTTCGAGAAAAAAATTCGGGTAGGTGCTGAAATTTTTAGGCAAAAAAAAATTTTTCAAGTCGTTCTAAAAAAATTATTTTCGGTTGCAAGGAACGACTACAATCATTTTTTATCATTACATATACCCCCGAAATCCTACCACTTTTCAAGAAAAAAATTCGAGTAGGTGCTAAAATTTTCCGGCAAAAAAAAATTTTTCAAGTCGTTCTAAAAAAATTATTTTCGGTTGCAAGGAACGATTACAATCATTTTTTATCATTACATATACCCCCGAAATCCTACCACTTTTCGAGAAAAAAATTCGGGTAGGTGCTAAAATTTTCCGGCAAAAAAAAATTTTTCAAGTCGTTCTAAAAAAATTATTTTCGGTTGCAAGGAACGATTACAATCATTTTTTATCATTACATATACCCCCGAAATCCTACCACTTTTCGAGAAAAAAATTCGAGTAGCTGCTAAAATTTTCCGGCAAAAAAAAATTTTTCAAATCGTTCTAAAAAAATTATTTTCAATTGCAAGGAACGATTACAATCATTTTTTATCATTACATATACCCCCGAAATCCTACCACTTTTCGAGAAAAAAATTCGGGTAGGTGCTAAAATTTTCCGGCAAAAAAAAATTTTTCAAATCGTTCTAAAAAAATTATTTTCAATTGCAAGGAACGATTACAATCATTTTTGGTCATTATGCATACACCCGAAATCCTACGCATTTTTGAGAAAAAAATTCCTTAACGAAAATATAATTTCAGGCCGAAAATGTCACTCCAGAATTTTGTGCGCATCTTTAAAATGTCATAACTTTTGAACGAATTGAAGGATTTCAATGTTTCAAACGGCAAATAAGTCGTATTTTAGTGGGGAATACGTAGAAATTCTAACAATTTTGAAAAAGTTGTTCCTTGATCTCGTAAAATGAGAAAAAACCCATAAAAATGGTCCAATTTTCAAAGAACTATAACTCCTACAATATTGAATATATTTCAACGATATTTTTTTCTGAAGTATAGCTCATCGATACCTAGAAAAAAGTATTAGACAACTTTTCTGCAGAGTGCCAGACAAATTTATTAAAAATGAAAAACGAATTTTAAGCAAAAAACTGTAGTAGGTGCTTAAATAAAAAATTTTAAACCATTCTGGAAAAATTATTTTTGATTGCGGGGGTCAATTACAATCGTTTTTCGTGAATAGACACACCCCCGAAATCCTACCCATTTTATAGAAAAATATTCGGGAATGGATGAAATTTTTCGACAGAATTAAAAAATTTCAAATCGTTCTGGAAAAATTATTTTTGGTTGCGGGGGTCAATTACAATCGTTTTTAGTGAATAGACATATCGCCGAAATACTACGCACTTTCGAGAAAAAAATTCTGTACAGGTGGAACTTTAAATGTTAATAATTTTTTAACGAAGCGTCCATCAACAAATCGGTATTCTTGATTATCGTCTTAGTTTGGCCTCTAGAATCTTCTATTAAAATTTTTTCGTGGGTTGTCTAGGAAAATCAGTGAGTGCAGAAAATGGTAGACGAATTTTAAGAAGAAATGAATATAATGGTCGTGTAACACGATCAAAGCTGCTTGTAACTGCCAAGAATAGAAAACAATGACTAGAGTTCACTAAACATTATATAAATAAAGACAGATTTTGGAAAAACGCCATCTTTATGGATGAAAGTAAAATTAAGATTTTTGGAAATGATGGCAAAATAAAAATTTGGCGGAATCGAATCAAGAGTGGAAAGTACAAAATTTGAGGCTGCGTTTCATCGGTAAGGGTTGAAAATTTTGAATTCATTGAAATATAGAAATATGGATAAGTGGTGTTATTTAAACATTTTGAAAACTCGTTTGAAAGATAGTGCACATAAATTAGGATTGTTAGACTCATTCATGTTTTACGGGCGATAATGACCCGAAACATGCATCAAGGATCGTTCAAGAATGGCTGTTGTACAACTCAAAAAAAAGTCATTCGCATACCGGCTCAATCACCTGATTTAAATATCATTGAGCATGTTTTGGCGTGAATTAAAATTGCAAGTGAATGAGCGTGAAAAATCAAGTGAAGATCAATTAAAAGCAGCAATACGGACAGCGTGGGAAAATATTGAATCAAGTTTTCTAGAAAAGTTACTTCGATCTATGCCACAACGATTGCAGGCAGTTATAGACAATAATGGCTATCCTACTAAATATTAAACTAATTTTTCATATTTGATTTGTATTTTACTCTATAAATATGCTGTATAACGTGAGGATGATTTGACACATAATGTTGTTATTGTTTTTTATTTTCATCAATAAAGAATAATGTTTAATTCTTTATACTTCGTATGAGAAATGACCAAGCATTAAGCTACAGATTACTAATTTATTCTCGACCAAATTCCTTCTCCCATAACTATACCGATTGAGTACTTCTTAACACTTTACCGACCGGTAGCTTATTAATCGGTTGCCATGAAAATAAAAAATATCACTAGATTTAATTACCCTATAATAACAGAAAGAGATCAATATAGTAACCACTGTCGCAAAGTTTCATTTAACATTCCTATAAGTACAAGAAAAAGTAGATATACAGGGCGGTCCACGCAATTGTTACAAGTCATCTTCTTCAATAAAGACTTTTTTTTTTAAATATCTCGAGATCTAATAATTTTTTTGCCATGGTACCCTAATCATTTTTTACGTAGAATGAACAGAAGAATCGATCTGTGTAAAAAAAAATATGCATTTCTATTTAATGAAATGATGCAATTGTTAATTGCACATGCACTGCTGCATCTAAAAAAAATTTGAAGGCCTACAGATGTAGTGCTCTTCGAACCATTTATCTTCTTCCTGTGGCATTTTTTCGGAAATGCAATAATAACGGAGTTACGACTTGTAACAATTGCATGGACCACCCTGTATAATCTAGGGTCAATCGGTACCGGTCGGTAAAATGTTAAGATAGAACCTGTACGATTTTCAATGGGAGTGACTGTACCCGTTTCCCAAAGGAGCCTGAACTTCGCGACCCAGGAACAATGTAACGCGGCGTCGCGTGTCGCGCGTGCAACGCCAACAGCGTGCCGCGAGCGGAAAGAAAAAAAGATTACGGAATACCGTTCCACGGAAACGTTAGAAAGTGTCAGCCACGGTGAACGCACGAGTTTCGAGCGGAAGGGTCCTCACCGTCGCGTGTCTCAGGCCACTGAGTCGACGTCATCAGATGCCTTAACCTGAGCCACCTGTTCCTGCAGCTCTTGTGGTCGTAGCAGTACCAGCCACCTTCCAGGAAAATGATCCACCTCTTCGAGCCGTGCGACTTCCGCAGGTAAAATCCCGCCTGGGATCCGTCGTTGCAAGTGATCGACCTGTTGCTCAGGTAGACCCTCTTCAAACCCCTCTGCTCCTCGAGACCGTACTTCTCCAGGATCTTGATCAGCTTCTGGATCGTGTTGCTTTGGATCGCTGGCGAGCCCGCGGACACCGAAACGGTGTTCGTCGGTTTCTCCTCGGCAACTATCGTCAGCACCAGAGCTGTCAGGCACACGGAGATCTAGAATCAAATATGAAAAAATTGTTAGAAAACCGCTACCCCCCTTGCACTGCCTAAATTCATTGCTACTTCGAAGCTCTCGGGGTCTAAATCGGAGAAACATAATAATAATCTATATGTAGGAGATCTGTATTGAATATTTGTGCCACGCTGTAGATTTGTTCAATGTTAATTTATGTGCAAAAGGGTTGAAAGAAAGAACGGGTTACTAGGGACAGCGAGACAACGGGGAGGGAGAAACGAGTGATTGTGAAAGACGGACGTGATTATAATTTCAGTTGTCAATTAATATGATTTTAATTTGTGTTGCTAATTATTAATTTGTGTGTTCCAAATTTGTTTATTATAATTATATGATTTGTACATTTGTTTCTTAAATAAATCCTCTTCGTTAAATCCTACATACATATACATGTTTACCTTTACAACATAGTCATGAAGTGTTTGATTATCTTCTTCAATAAAGACATTTTTTGAAAATATCTCGAGATCTAATAATTTTTTTACCATCGTACCCTAATCATTTTGTACGTAGAATGAACAAAAGAATCGATCTGTGTAGAAAAAAATATGCATTTCTATTTAAAGAATTGATGCAATTGTTAATTGCACATGCATTGTTGCATCTAAAAAAAATTTAAAGGCCTACAGATGTAGTGCTCTTCGAACCATTTATCTTCTTCCTTTGGCATTTTTTCGGAAATGCAATAATAACGGAGTTACGACTTGTAACAATTGTGTGGACCACCCTGTATAATGAAAGACCTGACTCACTGACTTATCAACGCACAGGCTAAGCTTTTGGACGTAAAAAGCTGAAGTTTTGCACAGAGGTTTTCCTCTATGATATATACAATCTATCTATATGCCGTGATTGGTCAGTGTTTTTCGTTAATAATTCAAAAACGAAGAATTTTGCAAAGGAAATTGTTGTTCAGAATCGTCTCAGCTACCCCCCATTTCCGGTTCTAACACTATTTACGGGACACCCTGTATATGTATTATATAGCAACCGAGGGGTCGGTCGAGCGCTTGTGAGAGCGCGAGCCCTCTGGCGGCGAGCACGGGAGACAACGCCACAGTATTAACACGTAGATAACAAAAATTGATCAAATTATCACAAAAAGAAATGAATCTTTATTTCTGTGTTCCAGTGTGCAAAAAAGTATGCATTGAAAAACAAAATATAAAATATTTTCTTTCGTAACAAATCATAAAATTTATCTCAAACAATTATTTAATTAAATTATCATAAAATTATCTAACTAAATTACTAGGCAAATGTGGTTGTCTGCCATAGATGCAATCGTTTCCAGAATAAAACTTATTGCACTACATAATTATTATTGCCTTCAGAGATATGAAACTGAACATTGGAAATGAAAGTACAGGTTCCCTGCTAGCTTCTTTCTAAACGTGATTTTGCAATTTTGAATATTTCTAAGTAATTTATTACCAAAGAGGCTGATTACTGGATAGCGGCCAACTATTAGATCAGTTGCTCTAAATGCGTCACGGAGCAGAGAATTTAAGGAATATTGTTTATCGCACGGGTAATATTATTAAACCAAATGGCCCCCACAGGTGTGCTATAAAAGAATGGTTAAGCAGTTTCAAGCAAAATTTAGTTTTAAAAATCTCCCAATGGGTGGAACGTTGAGGTTAATCGATCTTTCACCATCGAGTTATATCGTTGAGTATTTTGATATTCCAATGACTGTATCGTAAAAATAATGTATTTGTAATTAATATAAAATGCCTTCTAACTTCATCTCTAGAATACTTGTAAAAAAAAAAGACAGGAATTGGAGTGTGCAAATACTCAACGACGCCAATTACTGTGCCCAGTTTTATTTATTATAGTAATCAAAATGTCACTATTGATTTAAAATCAGCGGGAAAGGTATGTGGAAAGCTGCTGTGAAAGTGATAGTGACGGAGTACCGGAGAATGTACCTTTTATAGAACAGGTCAAGCACCTCTGTTTGAATTGCCAAAAAAGGTGCAAATATAGCATTGTCATTAATTTTATGATTGTTATGGAATTGGTCTCAACTTGGAAACTTTCACTTGGAAAGAACTAAGGTGATAAAGAATTTTAACAAAAGTACAGTCTCCTAGAACATAGTAAATTGAAAACTTCGCTAGATGTCGCTGTCTACAGGGGCCATGACCCAAAAATATCAGTCATCTCAACGATTTCCATATCACCGAGAAGCAACCTATCTTGACCCCCGACTACAATTGCATGTAGGAACATTTTCTCATAGGTCTTTTTCATTCTGTTTAAGAATTTGACTGCCACGTCATCCACATATGGGTGATTGGATTTACCACTACGATACTAGAGTTAAGACGTTGAGGGGAATAAATTTGGATAGAATTAGTGAATTTCAACAAGGTTACAAAAATAAGTAAGACAAATTTTAGGTTATGTAGCTCACGATGGTCTGAAATCAAAATTTTACTTTTGCAGAGTATCATAGAGTTTTGATCTGGAATTGAACGTGTTAAATTGGATATACATGGTGGAGATTTGAAGAGAACTTATGAATTTCAACAAGGTTACAAAAAATAACTACTGAAACAATATTTAGGTTATGCAGCTTACAGCTAAAATCAAAATTGTACTTTTGCAGAGTATTATACGGTTTTGCTCTGACAGTGAACGTGTTAAGCCTATGAGTTAACAACACAGCCAGATACATGACCAGTTCAAACAAATAGCAATCAGAACCCCCAAGCGGCGATGAAACGAACGAGTTTGTCGCGGGAATAATTTAAAAGTAGGAAACGTCGATTTTCCACGACGCCACTCTCTCCGTCTCTTCCTCTTCTATGGCGTTCCACGTCGGTGTGTTTCGCCACAACCTTCCTTCCTTTCTCCTCTACCTATCTCGGTCTTCTCGGAGGTTCAATGATTCTCTCCGTTTTGCTTACGCAGTCACCTCTATCGGGACGCTTGGCTACTTAAGATCAAATTCCAGCTTTCGAGACGGTAGCCGGCGGCGGAAACACCTCGAAAACAGAAGCTCGTTCTGCCCGGCGACGAGATGAAAGGGAGCCGCCCGGGCGTGCACGCTGGAAAGGAGAAACATTGTTGCGACGCAATTATGATCGGGCATAATGGCCCGCGAACACCCGTTCGCCCCCCCAGAACACGTCATTGGCAACGCCAGCGGCGAGACACATAGAACCTAAATAAGGAGCACCCATCGAGCGTTCGAAGCTGATTTCGACAAAGCCTCGCAGATATGCACGTCGATGAACGCGAATGTCCTCGATCGAGTGGAACGGTCTCCGATTCCATTGACAGGGCCATAGAAAAATATGGACCGAGTATTTAGGGACGTAAATATGTACAAGTAATTGTGTGCTGTTAAGTAGAAAAGAAAGGATTTGAAATAGAGTGGACTTTTAGTTGTATTCAACTTTAATACACACATCAGGGCTTATAAGGTTTTTCTGGAATAGTTGTGATTAGAATAGTAACAGTAATTGTGTAGAGGTTGCATAATTAGAGTAATCTGGTTTATGCAAAACATCGATCTCTTACCGACGATTTTACTCTTCATATTCAACATTCTTACGATGTAGTTATGTATTTTAGTTGCAAGAAATTTTTTAGACTGCTGGCAGAGAACATATACAGGGTGTTCGACCACCCCTGCGAAAAATTTGAATGGGGGATTCTAGAGACCAGAATAAAACGAAAATCAGGAATATCAATTTGTTGATTGAGGCTTCGTTAAAAAGTTATTAACAAAATTAAATTAAAAAGTTTCAAATCATTCACGGAAAAATTATTTTCGGTTGGGGGGGTCAATTGCAATCATTTTTGGTCATTACACATACCCTCGAAATCCAATGCACTTTCGAAAAAAAAATTCTTTACCAAAAATATAATTTCCGGCCAGAAATGCATGAAAATGTTTAAAATATCATAACTTTTGAACGGATTGGAGAAAATTAATGTTTCAACAGGCAAACTACGCGTATTTTGATGGAGAATATGTCGAAATTCCAAAAATATTCGAAAAGTTGTTCCTTGACCCCGTGAAGTGAGAAAAACCCCATAAAAATGGTTCAATACTACAAACGTTCATAACTTCTATAATAACGAACTTATTTCAATGAAATTTAGTATGGAAGTAGACTTTATGGATACCTACAAAAAAGTACTAAACAAAATTTCCGTTTGACGTCAAACAAAATTATTAAAAATGAAAAACGAATTTTTAAGAAAACTCCATACGGGATAGGTGCCCAAATTTTTCGAGGGGAAAAAAATTTCAAATCGTTCTAAAAAAATTATTTTCGGTTGCGGGTGTCAATTATAATCATTTTTGGTCATTACACATACCCTCGAAATCCAATGCACTTTCGAAAAAAAAATTCTTTACCAAAAATATAATTTCCGGCCAGAAATGCATGAAAATGTTTAAAATATCATAACTTCTGATCGGATTGGAGAAAATTAATGTCTCAACAGGCAAACTACGCGTATTTTGATGGAGAATATGTCGAAATTCCAAAAATATTCGAAAAGTTGTTCCTTGACCCCGTGAAGTGAGAAAAACCCCATAAAAATGGTTCAATACTACAAACGTTCATAACTTCTATAATAACGAACTTATTTGAATGAAATTTAGTATGGAAGTAGACTTTATGGATACCTACAAAAAAGTACTAAACAAAATTTCCGTAAGACGTCAAACAAAATTATTAAAAATGAAAAACGAATTTTTAAGAGAACTCCATACGGGATAGGTGCCCAAATTTTTCAGGGGGAAAAAAATTTCAAATCGTTCTAAAAAAATTATTTTCGGTTGCGGGTGTCAATTATAATCATTTTTGGTCATTACACATACCCTCGAAATCCAATGCACTTTCGAAAAAAAAATTCTTTACCAAAAATATAATTTCCGGCCAGAAATGCATGAAAATGTTTAAAATATCATAACTTCTGATCGGATTGGAGAAAATTAATGTCTCAACAG